AGTAAGAGGAGGCCATGATATTCTTCTGTAAAGAACATGACAAGTGATGTGCCTGTCGGGGTGGACCAGGGAGGGACAGAAGGACAAGCAAGAAAAGGGGTGAAAGTGGACAGAGGATTTTTCAGACGAGGGATGTGGGAGCAGAGTCCAGTACGTCATTTTATCCCACATCACCCTCCTCCACCCAGAGGCTTTCAGCATAGCTGCAGACGCCCTTTTGGTAAACCAAGTGAAGAGGCAGAAAGGGATGGTAGAGAGGGCAGGATTTGAAACCAGAGTAAAGCTCCCCAGCCTCTCGTGACGACCCCGAGGAGGAGGGCATCGTCAGAGACAAGGGAGAGCCCATGATGGAGGTGTTTTTGACTGTGTGCTGCTGGGCTAGGTATTGTGGGAAGGACCCCTACACTCTCTAAAAGATCCTCATAACCCTAGAAGGCCTTTAATTCTCTTCATTCCCAGGCAAGATCCTGACAGATGACTTTGCGGACAAGGAGGGCCTGGAGATGGGTGATGAGTACTTTGCCAATCTGGACCATATCGAGAGTGTGGAGAACTTCAAGGAAGGATATGAGAGTGATGCCCCCTGTTCGTCCGACAGCAGCGGGGTGGACTTGAAGGACCAGGAAGATGGCAACAGCGGTACAGAGGATCCCGAAGAGTCCAATGACGACAGTTCCGATGATAACTTCTGTAAAGATGAGGACTTCAGTACCAGCTCTGTGTGGCGCAGCTATGCTACCCGGAGGCAGACCCGGGGCCAAAAGGAGAACGGACTGTCTGAGACGGCTTCCAAGGACTCCCGCCCCCCAGACCTTGGGCCCCCCCATATTCCTGTCCCTCCAGCGATCCCTGGGGGTGGCTGCAATCCGCCTTCCTCTGAAGAGACACCCAAGAATAAGGTGGCCTCATGGTTGAGCTGCAATAGTGTCAGTGAAGGTGGCTTTGCTGACTCTGATAGCCGTTCATCCTTCAAGACTAGCGAAGGTGGGGAAGGCCGGGCTGGGGGAGGCAGAGGGGAGGCTGAGAAGGCCTCCACCTCAGGGCTGGGCTTCAAGGATGAGGGAGATCTCAAGCAGGCCAAGAAAGAGGTAAGTGGTGGCAGAAGACTCAGAGCGGGAGCTTTTGTAGAACTTTGGTAATGGAACAACTTGACATGGCACACTGATTCTTCACGTGTAGATCATTTATTGGATGTTTATTTCTGTGGCAAACCTGATTATCTTCCCCCTGCACCCAACACATTCCTGGTGCTTAAAGAACCAAATTATTATTTTTTTATTTTTATTTTTTAATGTTTATTTTTGAGAGAGATAGAGCACGAATGGGGGAGGGACAGAGAGAGAGAGGGAGACAGTTTGAAGCAGGCTCTGAGCTGTCAGCACAGAGCCTGACACGGGACTTGAGCCCACGGACTGGGCTGTGAGATCATGGCCTGAGCTGAAGTCGGACGCCCAACTGACTGAGCCACCCAGGCACCCAAGAACCAAATTATTTTTTTATTTTTTAATTTTTATTTTTTAATTTTTATTTATTTTTTTTTAATTTAACGTTTATTTTTGAGAGAGAGAGAGAGAGAGAAAGAGACCACAAATGGGGGTGGGGCAGAGAGAGAGGAGACACAGAATCGGAAGCAGGCTCCAGGCTCTGAGCTGTCAGCACAGAGCCCGACGCGGGGCTCGAACTCATGAACTACGAGATCATGACCTGAGCCGAAGTCAGATGCTTAACTGACTGAGCCACCCAGACGCCCCCCAAATTATTTTTTAAATCAATCTGCTGGGGGGCGAAAGTATCTGGTTCATTCCGAAGTAAAGGATTTATAAGTAATTTTTTTTTTTTAACTTAGTGTTATGTCAAGTTATCTACAACATTGCTGTTTTTTGTTAGAGTTAAAAACCAAGAATTGATTATAGATGTATTTTTAATGATGTTGAAACTTAACACAGGTGGTGAACTCTTGTCCTTGTAAAATCTGCCCACGGTGTTTGCCTTGAGTGTGTTATGGTCTGTCATTGGGAAGATTTAGAGAACCCTTCTCAGGGGGGTGTCCTGATGAGAACACAATTGTTACTGTTGAGCTGCAGAGGAATCTCTTTAGTGTACTTCTCACTGGCCGATGTCTTTAGAGGTCATCTGAGATGAACTCTGATTGTTGGATCTGTCACCCAGCGCCATGAAAACATCTAACCCTTCACTTGCTCTTTTCCAGGACCCCGATGACCGAAACAAGATGTCCTTGTAAGTGCTGCTGTTTCTGACCTGTTTCCAAATCTGTCTTCTCTCAAGCCTGTAAAAGAAGCCTGCCCTCTCCCACTCATGTTCAGTCTCTCTCTCTTAAAAAAAATGGATAAATGTTAAAAAAAAATTTTTTTTAAAGGGGCACCTGGGTGGCTCAGTTGGGTAAGCGTCCAACTTCAGCTCAAGTCATGATCTCATGGTTTGTGGGTTTGAGCCCCGCATCAGGCCCTGCACTGACAGCTCAAAGCCTGGAGCCTGCTTCAGATTCTGTGTCTCCCTCTCTCTCTGCCCTCCCCCACTCGTGCTCTTTCTCTTTCTCTTAAAAAAATAAATAAATGTTAAAAAAAAAAAAAAAAGCCTAAGAAACAGCCAGTAATCTGATCCCCTCTTATTCCTTCCCCTCCCTTTAGAATCACTGAAAGCTCTCGAAATTATGGTTACAATCCTTCTCCCATGAAACTTGAAGGACTTCGCCGCCCACCTAGTAAGACTAGTATGCATCAGAGCCGACGACTCATGGCCTCTGCTCAGTCCAACGCTGATGTAAGTGACCTTGTTCCTCAAGCTGTACCTCCCCCAGCCTTGTGTTTGGCGCTGAGTCTGAGGAATATTCCCCTCACCTCCTCAGGTCCTTGATGATAATTCCCAGTATATCCCTTCTTATTTCTTTGGCTGTGACTTCCTGCCTTGTCTTTCTTTGCCCAGCGGCTAATCTTTCTCTTGCTGTAGTCTTAGCCTCTTCCTGCCTGACCATAGGAAGAGCGAGAACTTGAGTGGGTCCTCACCATTTACTCTTCTTTCTTCTCACTCTTCTGTTTTCCAGGATGTCTTAACACTGTCCAGCAGCACAGAAAGCGAGGGGGAAAGTGGGACTAGCCGGAAGCCTACCACCGGCCAGACTTCAGCCACAGCAGTGGACAGCGATGATATCCAGACCATCTCCTCTGGCTCTGAAGCAGATGACTTTGAGGACAAGAAGAACATGTCTGGTAGTCTAGAATGTTGGGGGTGGTAGGAAGGAACGATCGGAAAGTTGGGATAGAGGCTTTTTTAAGGAAGCTAAGGAAGTAGGAGGAAAAAATTCAGATCTTAAGAGTTGACACATGTCTGGGAGGGTTTTCTGACTCCCAGCTCAACTGTTCGACGCATCCCCTTCCTCTCTCCTTTCCACTTCCCTACTCTTTCCTCTCAGCTTTACCCAACAGATGTAATCCTGCTTGAAAAAACTGCCCGTTAGGATCTTTGCCCCAAGGGCCCAGCTAACCGGTATTCCTGCAGTGCAGTGGGTGGGATGGAAACGGGGGTGGGGGGGGTGGAATGTCGCAAAATGGGATAGGGCCTAAGCCCGTTCTCCTTCCTGTCCAGGTCCAACAAAGCGCCAGGTGGCAGTAAAATCAACCCGGGGCTTTGCTCTTAAGTCAACCCATGGGATTGCCATTAAATCAACCAACATGGCATCTGTGGAAAAGGGGGAGAGCGCACCTGTCCGTAAGAACACACGCCAGTTCTACGATGGGGAGGAGTCTTGCTACATCATCGACGCCAAGCTCGAAGGCAACCTGGGCCGCTACCTCAATGTGAGACCCCCCCTCCCCCTCACCTCTAGATGCTGGATTATCGTACCATCGTCAAATTTTTTGTTCTTTTAACAAAAGAACAGTTCTTTTAACTGTATAAACCCACCTTTTCTTGTCAGCAATTCTTGATCTCGAGCATCTTAAAGAGGTAGCTTTCTTTTAAAACTCCACTGTGATGGGGAGGAGCACATGGCATATTTTATCCAACTCCTGCTTACCCCACAAAGCCAGGTTCTGTTTCCTTGTATCTTATGCATCCTGTCCTTAAACCCACAGCACAGCTGCAGCCCCAACCTGTTTGTCCAGAATGTCTTTGTGGACACTCACGATCTTCGCTTCCCCTGGGTGGCCTTCTTTGCCAGCAAGTAAGAGGGGATCGGGGAGGGGGTGGGAGGGAAGAGCAGCATTCTGTCTGTGCTCCAGCGCCGCGTGCACCTGGTGATGGGCTGCCTTCACCGAACCTGTCCCTTCCTTCCTGTCCAGGAGGATCCGGGCCGGGACTGAGCTGACTTGGGACTACAACTATGAGGTGGGCAGTGTGGAAGGCAAGGAGCTGCTGTGCTGCTGCGGGGCCATTGAATGCAGGGGGCGGCTTCTTTAGAGGACAGCCTTCTTCTCAACGTCCCGAACCCTTCCCAAAGCATCCTTTCCTCAGGAACTGGGTCTTCCTGACTCTCCGACTCTGACCCTGCCTCCAGTCGTGCCCCTCCCCCGGCTCCTAGTAGGTAGAAATGGGGGCTCTGGATCAGGAGGTCCCTTCCAATGTGGTGCTAGCAGGCAAGGTCCCTCCTCCACCTCCTGAAGCGCCAGGGGTGGGGAGAGGTCACCACACCAACCTGGGCCTGACATCCGTCGGTCCTCCTGTTACTCCTCCCTCCCAGCCTGTGTGTGTTCAAGTGTCCATGCTTCTGACAGACTTTATTCCTGGAATGAGGGCTGTGCATTTACTATCCTTCATTTGTATGGTTTCTTGAACGTCTTTTAACAAGATGTTAAAACTAAGATTGTGATTTGATTTCTCTTTCTCGGTCCCCACACTTCTAGCTCTGGGTCTGTCTGGAACAGCACTGTTTCCACCCCCCCCACCCTTCCCAAGGTGCAGCTGTCATTAATCTCTTACCCTCCCTACCTTGGCTTTTTCTTATTTGCCATATGAAATTTAAAAATGAAAACATCACATAACCATGAGGAAGACTACCTTAGTTTATTTAGTTGATCCCCCTTCGCAGTTCCTGCTAGTCTCAGACACTTGTTGCCATGTTTTCATCTTTAATATATTTTAATTAAAAAAAAAACAAAACACCATTAACAGTACATTTTGGTCTGAAGTGGTCCCTCTGCTCAAATGCCAGGTGCTAGCTGTAATTCTGGCTTGAAAACCAAAACACCGAATGTTTAATAAATAAAAATTAGAACTAGTTGCCATTCTATTCCAAACCAGCTAGCCTAGGGAAAGAGGCCAAAGAAAGGAGGCAGTAAGATCTTGGACCTGTGACTAGAGAGAGCTGGCAGAGAAGTGACACGTAGACCGGCCGAACAGTCCCAGTGTGGCTCCTCCTTTTTGGCAGAGGTAGGGCAGGGGTCATATGTACCCTCCTACACTCAATTCATTTGTGTCTTTGGAGGGAAAAAAGTAAAAGCTCAGCTTTGGTTTCTGGCCCAAGTTAGGGAGCCTAGAAAGGTGAGCCTTGGTCCATCTTTGGCAGAATGAGGCCCACAGGTGGCACAGTAAGGCACGACCCTGGCTCTGGAGGTCAGGGGGTCAGAGGCAAACAGCTGGGGCCAAATTCTGAAGAATAAGGAATGTGAGTTGTAACCCCCACCCCCAGAGCTGAGGAAGGGCCTCAGAAACAACAGTACACCTTGAAAAAAAGAGAGGAAAAGAAGTCCGTCCCCCTCTAACAAAGGATGTACCAGCCTCCCCTCTACCTGGGGATTGGCTGGTTCGAATTTGGTTTAAAGGCAACTGGGTGACAAAGAAGCAGGGGGCTGGGACACAGAAGAACTTTCTCCTTGCTTTCTGCTTCCCAGCCCCCCTCCCCAGCCCCCAGGGCTCAAAGTGGCCCTGTGGGGAGGAGGGACTAGTTCCTTGGCTTTACGCATTAATCTGAGGGGCAGCAGGAACAATGGTTCAGTCATTCTTACGATGGTTGTTACTGATGACGGGGTGGCCGTTGGCTAGTGGCCTGCTCTTTGCTCCTCCCCCTGCTATAGCCTCCTCCCCCTCTGAGCTCTCGGTTTCTTCCGGGTCACTGCGTTCATCTTCTACCAGCTGTGGAAGGGATAAGAAGGGTTACTCGCTGTCCTCAAACCCCCAAGAAATGCCTCTCTCAGCAGGCTTGTCCTGCTTTACCCAGGGCCCCATGGTAGTCTCTTAGCAGGTTGCTGGTACGGGAGGGAGTTTGGGCAGTTTCTAGAGTTGAAGGTAGTGGGGCCTACAGAGCATTCACCTTTCCAGTTATGAACTTGTGGGCCATGCGCAGAATGAAGTAAGCCCAGAAGACATGTAGCAGCTGTAGCACTCCCATCATGGAATTAAAGAAGTAGTAGCCAAAGAAGGCGGGGTAGAGCTCCAGTGGGTACACCACGGTGCAGTGCAAGATCCTGCAGTAGGAAAGTAGAGGGAATTGTAAACACACAGAGGAGGGGCAGGGAGAGGCAAGACTCCTGATTCCTCGAGGACAGGAGTGTCCTCTGGCCTCCTACTCACCAGAAGGGCAGGATGACCAGTCGGGTGATGATGAAGACAATGGCGAAGACGATGAAGATGTTGTTGCAGGTGTTTTTCCATCCCGCATAGTTAAACATCTTGGCTGACTGCATAGATAGCCCCATCCATCATCACAGGCTCCTGACTCTCCCATATATGTTCATACACATGCTGGCTCTGTGCCCCCCGCTTCCTTGGTCCCAGGAACGTCAACAGCACCACCACCACCACCACCACCCCCCCCACCACCCCCCCCACCCCCCCCCCCTGCAAAAAAGGGAGAGGGATGGGAGAACCTGCACCAGAGTCTCTAGGTTTGAAGAAATGGCCCAGGAAGCCTGACCTCTAGCAGGTAGTCAGAAGAGTCATGAAGAGCCATGATCAGAGTCCCTGCTCGGATGTAATTGGCAAACCAGGAGAAGCTGATGAGGATGATGGTAGCCACGTGGTGGATGATCTGTTCCTTGAAATCCTGAAGGAAAGATGCAGGCTTCAGGGCACTATTAACTGTTCCCCAGCCCCCACTATTCCTACCTCCCCTTCCCCTTTGTGCCCCTCAACCCACAGCTCCATCCAAATACCCAGAAGTCAAAGCGGGGGCTCTTCCTCCCAGGGTTTTATCTTGGTTCTTTAGGCTTAATGGCACAGCTCCCTGACCCACCTTACGCTTGACATCAGAGGCAATGCTGAAGAGCAGGGACCAGTAGAAAGAAAGTTCAATCATGTAGTACCAATACTGGGAAGGGATGGTGCTCTGGGAGAGCGGAGAGAAAGAAAGGTAAGGGGCCCTGGAGCAGCAGGTCCCAAGAGCCTCACCTGTCCAAACCCAGCCCTTCTAGCCCAAAGTGCTTTAGCACCACGACTCCAGTGCCTTCTGCCATGTGTTCCAGAGATCCTCTCTTCACGAGGGTGTGTGTGTCCTAGTCCTGTCCTACCTTGATGCTATACAATGAGTCAGGACCCCATTTCATACCTGTATGGGATATCCCTCCCAAACCTTCTTCATGTCATAGAACCAGGGTTTCTGCAGACAGACAGTGAGAGGTTAAAAGAGGAGGGACCCAAGTTCTGTGGCCTCATCCCACCTTGCTAGAGAGCCTACTCCCACCTCCCATTAATCCCCACTCACATCCACAATGACAGCCATGCCAGCAATGAAAGCGATCAGATAAAAGGTGAATCTCCAGCTGCAAGAGGAAGCAGAAAGGACTGGAAGAGTGGCATAGCCCTCCAGCCACCCCCAAGTGCCCCCAGATATCCTCTCAGTATCATTAATAACCAAATTCACCTGTTCACCTAGGTACAGCCTCTCCCCGCACAGGGCCATGGCCCACCCCTCCCAGCAAGATACATCAGAGCTTCCTCTGCCGCCCAGCTTCTCCTGCCCCAGCCTCCCCTACCTGGCTTCTCGGAACTTCTTGAGGAGACTGGGCCGGTCCTGGTTGCGGCGGCGCCGGAACCAGCGCTCTACCTGGCGGCCAGAGAGCCCGCTCTGCCGTGACAGGAGCTCTACCTCTGCCTGGGTGTCATGAGGAAGCCCCATTACCATTCGGCTTCGGCTCCCCCACCCTCCCGCCCTCTCCCAGTGAGAAGCTAGGTCGGCACCCCTGCCCTCTCCTCTCTTCACCCACCAGGGTTGGCCCTGCAGCCTGCCCCCTCCCCCTGCTCTCCCCCCCTTAGCACCCAGTGACTGCCAGGCTGGGGTCTGCGGCTCAAACCTGTTTGGGCTGCTTGCCACTGGTCAGGTAGAAATGCTCCAAGGTGGGGTTGGGAGGTGCCCGCAGTCGAGTTTTCTCCTTTATGTTCAGGAGGGCAGCCAGTGGGGTGGCCACGTAACTGAGGAAGGGATAGGAGTGAGAAGTGTCTGGCTCTCTGGAAGCACCTCAGTGTCTCAGTAGCCCCTACACTGGGAGGGGAAAGGACTGCAAGCTCAGGCAACTTTATCCTGGGCCTCAGTTTCCCAGCAACCCTCTCTCTGGCCTCCATGGGCTGCCCAGAGCTGACAAAGCTGCCTGTGTTCACAAGTGACCGGGCGGGAGCGGGGAGGGGGAGAACAAACGACCATTGAAGGAGAGGGCCTGGGGGTGCTGAACCCTCAGGAAGACAATGCTGCCTTTAGTGGGGAGCACACAGTAGGCAGGGATCAGTGGGGGGGTGCACAGTAGGCAGGGATTGGGGTGGCCAGAAGAGCGGGACCCAGCACCAATTAAACAGCAAGAGATGGACTTGAAGTGCGAGAAATTTCACTGTGTCTGGCAGCCAAGGAAGGCATGGGGGTAGGGGCAGTATGCTCACAGCTCAAAGAAGTATCGAACGATGAGGAAGAGCAAGGCCAGGGGTAGTGTGATGTAGAGGTCTGAGGCTTTGGCATAGACACGTCCATCCCGGTCTTCTAGATCAGCCCAGGTTAAGTTCACAGGCAGCCACAGCCGTTCCCACCAGAAGTAGTCATACAGGGTCTGGAGCATCCTGAGTGAGGAGGGGGGAAGGGAGAGGGCATCACAGGGGGCAGCTATGGGGGAAAAGAGAGATGAAAGTTTCCATGGTGTAACAAAGGAGAAGGGGACAGAGATTCAAGCCCTGGATTCCAGTCCTGGCCAATGGCCTCGGACAAATCAGCTTCTTCATCTGCAACATGGTGCCTTTCCAGTTCTAACATTTACTGTTTTTAGCAACTGAAGGGTGATGCTGACAACCCCCAGGAGTCCCAATTCTCTAAAACTAAGAACCTTGGGGTCTTCCGGTCATGTTGCTACCCCAGCATGGAGGACAGGCAGGATCTGGCCCTAGAGGCTGTAACCAACAATCTGAGTAAAGGAGGCACCCTCCCCCATCCCACTCTTCAGCTACCCCCTCCATCCCTCAAGCCAACCCACAGCTGGAAGCTTCCCTGTCAGGGAAGCCCCGAAAACAGATTGCAGGGCTGAGGCGAACCCTACCTCCTCCTTCCCTACAACCCATCCAGGTAACAGGTCCCTAGGGAAAATTAAGAGGCCGAAGTAAAGCAAAATGATGTCCCTAAAGGATGCTGAGCCCCAGGACAATCAGTGGACCTCAAACTATCACACACAAGATTAACACCCCATGCTGAGACATCCAATCCCAGCAAATAAGGCTGAAGAACTCTTAACTGAAGCCTCTTTTCAGAAATAAAGTGAAAGCAAGGCTGCAAAGGATCAGGGATTGGGGGACAGACCATGGTGACAGCAGACCAAGACATCTGGTGGGACTAGGAACTATTTCTTCCTAAGGCTCATCTAGAAAATAAAACCCTAACTAGTCTGCAGGGGAACAGCCATCACAAATACTCTCAGATAATAAAAGCTGTTGCTTCCTCCGCCGCCCCACCTTTTCCTCCACTGTTAGAGAAAGGATCATCAGGGTGGTAGTGACCAACCACTTGGATACCAGAATGAGGGAGGATACAGACCTCCTTTGACGTATCCTACACAGCCACTGTCTGTGGCTCCGAGGGGGACAGCAGCTGCTTGGAGCTAAGAGCAAGATGGTCCTGAAGCGTCAGTGATGCCGGTACCAACACAATACCTGGCAGTCCTGGGACTCAGCAATGAACGCCAGCAGGATGGCAAGGGCAGAAGTTTCCAGGCTCCCAGCCCTCATCCTCCCAGGAGGGAAGAGAGGTGGTGGTATTCAGGCTGGCCTTGGAATGAAGCGCTGACACAGAAGGAAGGTGGTCTCCTCCCACCCAGGGAGGGAAGAGAGTGGGGAGATTGTTCTCCACTGTGAATTGGACACCAGTTGGTGCCACTGGCTGAAGGCTGATCAGATCTCAGCTGAGCTGGGCTGGTCCTCCGGCTGCTCTTCCAACAGCTCCGCCCACACCCACCACAGAAGCACTTGCGAAATCCCTCTCAGCCTGTCACGGGTCATTATTCCAGCTCAAGGACTTTACCCTCTTGTCCCCACTCTTGGTCACTGCTCTCAGATGAAATCAGAGGTCAGCACTGACAATAAAGGAGCTTCAGCTTCACCTTCCCCCAATCTCTCTCTCTCTCTCGCACTCTCTCTCTCTCTCTCTCTCACACACACACACACACACACACACACACACACTCTCTCTCCCCTCTCTCTCTCTCTCTCTCTCTCTCTCTCTCTCTCTCTCCAGGCCTCAGCTCCTGAGGGCATTCATTGCCCCTTCCCCCTCCACCTTAGCCAGAATAAATATTTAATCAGTTAAAGAGATGGAACCTTTTTGAACTGAACAAAATTAAACATAATTATCCACAGTGGAACTTTACCCACACGACCATGTGTACGACACACTTTTATCCCGGAGAAAAGATAGAGAAAATTTAATGGAGAGGGAGCAAGGTAAAAGGCCTAGATGTGCTAGCACATCTCTGGATCCTCCTTTCCACATTCTTAGCTTAGCTAGATTGGAGGTAGGGAAGTACACCTGACATGTCCCCTGACTGCTGTCTCTTAGAGCCCAACTTGTCATTCACTGAGATCTAAAGCCAAAGGTACAGACAGACCTGGAGATTGGGCCCCATCCCTACACTGGTCAGTGAAAACTGGCAGGAAGTTTCTCTTGTCAGGGACATTTTGAGGATTAAAGATTCAGAAGGCCGGCTGGGGTCCCAGAGGGTAGGAGTGGGGCCCCTCTCCCTGACTCCTGGGGTCCAGGAATGTCTTCTGCCAGTCTATCCCTCCAAAGAAAGTGAGAAGCTGGGGAAGCTGGCAGAAAAAGTGTCAGAGAGTGGTCAAGGGCAATCACCAGGATAGTGCAACTATCTCAACCCCAGGACAAGATAGCACTCATCCCCTTCCCATCCCAAACAGGGAAAGCCAAAGAATATGGTGTGTCAGGAGCTCAGAGATGCAGATTCATGGGGGCTCTCTCACACTTGGCTTTCAGTCTTTCTGTGACCACAGCCCTCCCTTGTGGCCCAGCCTAGGACTTCCATTAGCAGAGGAATGCTACCCCCTCCCTGCCCACCCTTCCCCACCCTGGGCCTAGCCCAGCAGGGAGAAGCACCAGATTCAGCAGGGTCAGGACTTCTGACTCAACACGGGTTGGGGGGGGGGGGGGGTGGTGAAGAACAGGGGCTCCCAGTGCCCTGCTTACACACCCCCACAGAAGCAACAAGTCTGCTCCCAGAGGCAGCCCTGGTGGCTTCTTGGCACCAGCGCATCAAGCCAAGAAGGCAGGATATCTACTTGGCCTAGGGAGACAACCCTGCTTTTCCAGCAAGTTGGCCCTCAGGGTAGATACTTGATTTTCTGCTGGAGAAATCACACCTACAGATGTTTTTCCACTCACAGAATTTACTCCTGACACACACATGAAGAGATGATAGTGTGTGTATGCATCTGTGTGTGTCTCTCACATACATACACACATAT